GTGTAATAAAGCAGTCGCTGACAAACAGTCATAGAGGAAGTCTGCATCAAAGGTGGCGCTGTCAGTGAGGTGGTCAGCTAAAGTGTATTAGAATGGTGACGACGCTGGAGGTAAATTCTGTGAGCCCACTAATAGACAAGACAGTCTATTTAACGAAATGATGAACCGTCACTAAAACTTGACAATTCTCACAGAATGGCGCTAAGCACTTCTCCATAAGTTAGATGGGAAAAGGAGGCAGGATGGGAAAGATGAGGTGGGGAAGGCAGGAGTAGAGGGCAATTAGGTTTGGCTCAAGGAAGAAGACTAAAAAGTCCAATTCCCTAGATCAAGTGCCTCTTTGCCACATCAAGGAACCCATCTTGAAGAGGAACACTATGAAGATACAACTGAACAATGGTCCAAGACAAACAAAAAAACTGTCCAATTTATATTTTCAATTTGTGGGTTTGTGATTAATTCCTACAGTTGGGCAAAGACAGCGAGTGAGTTGGCAGCTCATGCCTGTAAAATTCCTCTGCTTACATATTCTACTTATATATTCAAATTTTAGTAAAACTTTTATGTATACACAATTATATCATCTATATTAACTAAGCTAAATGTTACTATAAAAATAAGTTTCAAAAGTATTTAGGGATTCATGATCCTCCTTATATAGTATATTTTATATTAAATATTTTGAAGTGTATCTGATTACATTTGCTCTTGATTTTATGATCAAAATAATAATATCTCATCAATTCACTGCTAATGGGAATTTAGAAAGACAACAAGACAATGATTTAGAAAGACAAGAAGGAAATGTATATCAAAATATGTTTTACAAACCCACATATTTTTTCAAATTATCCAAAAAAAAACTTCTCATATAAATATTTTAGGCTGTGTGTGATTACTGTGGTACAAATTATGGTCCCATTCAAACAATGTAATCACTTTTATACTTCCTTTGACAAATTATGAAAGTAGCTCACTATATTTTAATAAAACAAATTACAACAATAAGGTGCTAAAGATAAAATTTGCTGCATGATAATTTATGTCATCTCACTGAATATTCTATTTTTCTTTTTTACAAATGCTAGAATTCCATTTTAAAGTCAGAAGAAGTATTGTACAGAGACAGTTCTGGACACATACAGTAGAGCATTAGTATTCTGTGATGGTTAGGACCAAGCCATGCCCATCCTGCTGCCATTTCAAACAACTGATCACTTTTATTAGCCATAAAAATTACAAGTATATATAAAAAATGGAATTAAAGTAATATATGGTTGATTTAAGAGGTACAGTAATTATGGATTTGTCCACTTGCATTGCACAACAGTTTAGAAGACCAAACTTTTAGTTAGAGAGATAATATCAGGAGTGATATCTGGGGATGTAGAAGTGGAATTAACGTGTTTTCTGGCATATAACGTGCACCTTTTTTCCAATAAGAAGTCTTGAAAAATCACCCTGCACCTTAAATGCTAAAGGTCAGAGTCAAGGGTAGGCTTTGGGTTATGCTTCAGTTTAAAGTAAGAGGATAATTAGCCCTTGAATATGATTGCTGATTTACTGTTATGACACTTCTGTCATGCACCTGATACTCATATGCAGGAAAATGTGGTAAGTCTAGACAACCAATCATTTTCCAGATTAATGATCACTTTTCAAACAAGGGATCATTTCAAACAAATGCTCACTTTTACTGATGCTCTACTGTAATACATATGCATTGTTTATTGCCCATAATCAAACACTAATATAATCAAACAAAATTAACATCAACATTTCTCACCCATAATCAAACACTACATCCTACATAAAGACATGCCCCAAATAATTTGATTGTTCATGTCAAGTGATTCAAGTCTTAATTCCATTTTTGGTACTACTGTTGTAATACAAACTAAAAAAAAAATTTTTTAAAATTACCAAACTTATAAACTTTTCTGTATTGAACATTACATTGTTAATATATATACATGTTCCTAGGGAACTAATGGATTTGTCAGTTAAAAACAGTAGGGGAGTTAGTAGATGGGAAGCTGGAGGTATTGGGTATATGGCAGGAATATTTTAAGGAACTTTTAAATGTCAATGAAGAAAGTTAGTCAGTAATTTCATGTACTGGCCAGGGAGGTATAGCATTTTCTAGGAGTGAAGAGCAGGATGTGAGTGTGGAGGAGATGCATGAGGCATTATGTAGGATGAAAGAGGATAAAGCAGTTGGAACTGACATGATCATGACAGAAATGTTAAAAGCTGGGAAGGATAGTGTTAGAGTGGTTGGTATTTTTGTTTAAAATGTATGAAACAGGGAAAGGTACCTAGGGATTGGCAGAGAGCATACATAGTTCCTTTATATAAAGGAATGGGGGACAAAAGAGATTATAAAAATTATAGAGGAATAAGTTTACTGAGTATACTAGGTAAAGTGTATGGCAGGGTTATTTTTGAAAGAATTAGAGGTAAGACAGAGAGCAGGATTACAGGTGGGCAAGTCTTTAGAGTGGGTTGGGGATGTGTAGATCAAGTGTTTACATTAAAGAATATATGTGAACAGTATTTAGATAAAGGTAGGGAAGTTTTCATTGAATTTATGCATTTAGACAAGGCAAATAATAGAGTGGATGGGGGAGCAATGTGGCAGATGTTGCAGATATATGGAATAGGCAGTAATTTACTAAATGCTGTAGAGCTTCTACGAGGATAGTAAGGCTCAGGTTAGGGTGTGAAGGAGAGAGGGAGACTACTTCCCAGTAAAAGTAGGTCTGAGACAGGGATGTGTAATGTCACCATGGTTGTTTAATATATTTATAGATGGCTGTGAAAGAAGTAAATGCTAGGGTGTTGGGGAGAGGGGTGGGATTAAATTATGGGGAATCAAATACAAAATGGGAGTTGGCACAGTTACTTTTAGCTAATGATACTGTCCTTTCGGGAGATTCTAAAGAAAAGTTCCAAAGGTTAGTGGATGAGTGTGGAAGGGTGTGTAAGGTAGAAAGTTGAAAGTGAACGTAGATAAGAGTAAGGTGATGAGAGTATCAAATGATTTAGATAAAAAAAACTGGATGTCACATTGGAGGGAGAGAGTATGAAAGAAGTGAATGCTTTCAGATATTTGGAGCTGATTTGTCAGCAGATGGGTTTATGAAGGATGAGGTTAACCACAGAACTGATGAAGGAAAGAAGGTGAGTGGTGCACTGAGATATCTGTGGAGACAAAAAATGTTTTCCATGGAGGCAAAGAAGGGACTGTACAAAAGTATAGTGGTACCAACACTCTTATATGGGTGTGAAGCTTGGGTTGTAAATGCTGCAGCAAGGAGGCAGCTGGAGGCAGTGGAGATGTCCTGTCTAAAGGCAATGTGTAGTGTAAATATTATGCAGAGAATTCGTAGTGTGGAAATTAGGAGGAGGTGCGGAGTTACTAAAAGTATTAGTCAGAGGGCTGAAGAGGAGTTGTTGAGGTGGTTTGGTCATTTAGAGAGAATGGAACAAAGTAGAATGACTTGGAGAGCATATAAATCTGTACAGGAAGGAAGGAGGGGTAGGGGTTGTCCTCAAAAAGGTTGGAAGGAGGGAGTAAGGGGCTTGTGGGAAAGGGGCTTGGACTTCCAGCAAGCATGCGAGAGCGTGTTAGATAGGAGTGAATGGAAACGAATGGTTTTTGCGACCTGACGAGCTGTTGGAGTGTGAGCAGGGTAACATTTTGTGAAGGGATTCAGGGAAACTGGTAAGCCAGACTTGAGTCCTGGAAATGGGAAGTATAATGCCTGCACTTTAAAGGAAGGGTTTGGGATATTGGCAGTTTGGAGTGACATCTAAACTGTTGTATCTGGGCGCCTCTACAAAGACAGTGATTATGTATGAGTGATGGTGAAAGTGATGAATGATAATGAAAGTTTTTTCTTTCTTTTTTGGGTCACCCTACCTCAGTGGGAAACAGCTGTGTTAAAAATAAAAAAAATGTGTATATACATATAGAGTGGAACCTCGGTATTCGAACACAATTCATTCCAAAAGACTGTTCGAGTGCCAAACGAATTTTTCCCAACCAATTTTCTTTTTGGTTGGCTGTTATCACTAATCTTCGTAGGCCCCATGGTGATTTATTTATACAAAAAAATTGTGAAGAAACACAAAATAGTTTACAGCAAAGTTATGGCAGTTCGTGTTTGTTTGGTCGAGTGCTGAGCAAATGGTCAACTACCAAGCGATTTTTTTTTTACCAAAGTGGTCGAATACCAAATTGTTCGAGCAGTGAGCTGTTCAAGTACCCAGGTTCCACTGTACATATATGCAAAACAATTGCAGACAGGGGATCTTAGTGTAAAACAAGCCAGGACGGGGAGGATAATGTAAATCTTCAGCTCAAAATCTTTCATACTTTTCCATGCTTTATCAGGACTTGTGCAATGTTGCAAGAGCTATAGAAGGTAGGTTGAGGGAAAGTTTTCTAGGAGGAAAGGCAGTGTGTTGACACTGGCCAGCCTCTTCTGCCCTAGAAAGATACCAGACACCCCTCCCATCATTACATATATTCATACATATACATATATTACATATTACATGCATGCATACATACATACATTACATACACGTATTACATACATTACATACAATAATTCCATACATTACATACAATAATTCCATACATTACTTACAATAATTCCATATAAACATTACATACATATAGTGGAGGGTTATTATACATGGTGGCCTAAAGATGACCATCCAGAGATAATTTCAGTTATAAAATAGGTTACATAAATAAAAGCTCTCAGTAGGACTGTAATGTAATAGTAAAACTAATACTGTAATTTACTATCCTTATTTTTTTGTGCATAACAGACACCCACATTAATCAAAAATGATAGGTGAAAAAGATTATTTGGGGCATGTCAGATGTAAGAGCAAGAGGCAGTGATACATTAGACTTTACAGGACAGTTTAGACTCTATAAGCAATCTGCATTAAAGTAAATCCCTTAGCTGGACTCTTAATACCATCTAGAGCGCTGCAAGGAGATCTGATCCATCAAAGATCGAGCTTGGTGAGTCACATACATCTGAAATACAGAAATTACGAAACTGTTGATTACAGTAATAGCTATACAAGCTTTTACATATATTAACTTTGTTATGTTTTAATTACAAAGAAATGGCAAAAAAAAATCATGCTGTAAATCAAACCTTGAACCTGCCCATTTGTAATGCATCTTATCTTCCCAGTCTTCATGCATTTCTTCACATTCAAAAACACCTATTATTTTTCAACCATTTCCCTTTATTATTGATTTGCTTATATCTGCAATGTCTCTAGGTAGTAGGTTGGTAGACAGCAACTGCCTAGGGAGGTACTACCATCCTGCCAAGTGAGTGTTAAATGAAAGCCTGTAACTGTTTTACATGAGGGTAGGATTGCTGTCTTTTTTCTCTCTCTGTGAATGTGAACCAAGATGTCCTCTCTTGAGCAACTCTACCAGCAGCTAAAAGAGGAGCTTAGGGTTGCTAAGCTCGAGATATGGCGATTGACGGAGGACAACAAGAGGATTCGTAATCCTCCTGTTGTAAGTCCTCAGGTCAGGAGGGAAATCTGGTCAGTGGCTAGGCAACATGGAACGAAGCTGAAGATCAAGAAGACTATTGGAGTGGCTGAAACAACAAAGAACCAGAAGACTACTGTGGAAACTTCCAACCCATTTTCAGTGCAACCTGACGAACGTGGGTTGTCTACTGGGAATGTCACAACGAGCACCAAGGAAGCATTGACAGAGGAGAGCGAGTCGACATCCTTTGAAACCCCAACGAAGACCATCGAGAACGTCACGACGAACTCCGCCAGTGAAGGTAAGAACACTGTTTTAGTTGGGGACAGTCAGGATAAATTTATGGATAGGGCTTTTTGTCTTAGGGACAGAAAGAGGAGGCAGAGGGTATGTTTTCTTGGGGGTGGGATGGGGGATATTGTTAGCCGTCTAGACGATATCCTGAAAGGTAATGGGAGCAATCCTATTAACTGCCTCAGTGCGGAAAGCAACGATATTGGCAGACGTAGGAGTGAAGACCTGATTAGCAGGTATAGGACAGCAACAGAGATAATTAGGAGGAAGGGTGGGAACCCTGTTATATGTGGCATTTTTCTTTTTCTGTCTCATAAACACACTAGATAACAGGCATATCTTGCTACTCCTACTTACACTTTGGTCACACTTCACAGACACACACATGCATATATATATACATACATCTAGGTTTTTCTCCTTTTTCTAAATAGCTCTTGTTCCTCTTTATTTCTTTTATTGTCCATGGGAAAGTGGAAAAGAATCTTTCCTCCGTAAGCCATGCGTGTCGTATGAGGCGACTAAAATGCCGGGAGCAATGGGCTAGTAACCCCTTCTCCTGTAGACATTTACTAAAAAAGAGAAGAAGAAAAACTTTATAAAACTGGGATGCTTAAATGTGCGTGGATGTAGTGCGGATGACAAGAAACAGATGATTGCTGATGTTATGAATGAAAAGAAGTTGGATGTCCTGGCCCTAAGCGAAACAAAGCTGAAGGGGGTAGGAAAGCTTCAGTGGGGGAAATAAATGGGATTAAATCTGGAGTATCTGAGAGAGTTAGAGCAAAGGAAGGGGTAGCAGTAATGTTGAATGATCAGTTATGGAAGGAGAAAAGAGAATATGAATGTGTAAATTCAAGAATTATGTGGATTAAAGTAAAGGTTGGATGCGAGAAGTGGGTCATAATAAGCGTGTATGCACCTGGAGAAGAGAGGAATGCAGAGGAGAGAGAGAGATTTTGGGAGATGTTAAGTGAATGTATAGGAGCCTTTCAACCAAGTGAGAGAGTAATTGTGGTAGGGGACCTGAATGCTAAAGTAGGAGAAACTTTTAGAGAGGGTGTGGTAGGTAAGTTTGGGGTGCCAGGTGTAAATGATAATGGGAGCCCTTTGACTGAACTTTGTATAGAAAGGGGTTTAGTTATAGGTAATACATATTTTAAGAAAAAGAGGATAAATAAGTATACAAGATATGATGTAGGGCGAAATGACAGTAGTTTGTTGGATTATGTATTGGTAGATAAAAGACTGTTGAGTAGACTTCAGGATGTACATGTTTATAGAGGGGCCACAGATATATCAGATCACTTTCTAGTTGTAGCTACACTGAGAGTAAAAGGTAGATGGGATACAAGGAGAATAGAAGCATCAGGGAAGAGAGAGGTGAAGGTTTATAAACTAAAAGAGGAGGCAGTTAGGGTAAGATATAAACAGCAATTGGAGGATAGATGGGCTAATGAGAGCATAGGCAATGGGGTCGAAGAGGTATGGGGTAGGTTTAAAAATGTAGTGTTAGAGTGTTCAGCAGAAGTTTGTGGTTACAGGAAAGTGGGTGCGGGAGGGAAGAGGAGCAATTGGTGGAATGATGATGTGAAGAGAGTAGTAAGGGAGAAAAAGTTAGCATATGAGAAGTTTTTACAAAGTAGAAGTGATGCAAGGAGGGAAGAGTATATGGAGAAAAAGAGAGGGGTTAAGAGAGTGGTGAAGCAATGTAAAAAGAGAGCAAATGAGAGAGTGGGTGAGATGTTATCAACAAATTTTGTTGAAAATAAGAAAAAGTTTTGGAGTGAGATTAACAAGTTAAGAAAGCCTAGAGAACAAATGGATTTGTCAGTTAAAAATAGGAGAGGAGAGTTATTAAATGGAGAGTTAGAGGTATTGGGAAGATGGAGGGAATATTTTGAGGAATTGTTAAATGTTGATGAAGATAGGGAAGCTGTGATTTCGTGTATAGGGCAAGAAGGAACAACATCTTGTAGGAGTGAGGAAGAGCCAGTTGTGAGTGTGGGGGAAGTTCGTGAGGCAGTAGGTAAAACGAAAGGGGGTAAGGCAGCTGGGACTGATGGGATAAAGATAGAAATGTTAAAAGCAGGTGGGGATATAGTTTTGGAGTGGTTGGTGCAATTATTTAATAAATGTATGGAAGAGGGTAAGGTACCTAGGGATTGGCAGAGAGCATGCATAGTTCCTTTGTATAAAGGCAAAGGGGATAAAAGAGAGTGAAAAAATTATAGGGGGATAAGTCTGTTAAATATACCTGGTAAAGCATATGGTAGAGTTATTATTGAAAGAATTAAAGTAAGACGGAGAATAGGATAGCAGATGAAAAAGGGAGGCTTTAGGAAAGGTAGAGGGTGTGTGGACCAGGTGTTTACAGTGAAACATATAAGTGAACAGTATTTAGATAAGGTCTAAGAGGTCTTTGTGGCATTTATGGATTTGGAAAAGGCGTATGACAGGGTGGATAGGGGGCAATGTGGCAGATGTTGCAGGTGTATGGTGTAGGAGGTAGGTTACTGAAAGCAGTGAAGAGTTTTTTACGAGGATAGTGAGGCTCAAGTTAGAGTATGTAGGAAAGAGGGAAATTATTTCCCAGTAAAAGTAGGCCTTAGACAAGGATGTGTGATGTCACCGTGGTTTTTAATATATTTATAGAGGGGGTTGTAAGAGAAGAAAATGCGAGGGTCTTGGCAAGAGGCGTGGAGTTAAAAGTTTAAAGAATCACACATAAAGTGGGAGTTGTCACAGTTGCTCTTTGCTGATGACACTGTGCTCTTGGGAGATTCTGAAGAGAAGTTGCAGAGATTGGTGGATGAATTTTGTAGGGTGTGCAAAAGAAGAAAATTGAAAGTGAATACAGGAAAGAGTAAGGTTATGAGGATAACAAAAAGATTAGGTGATGAAAGATTGGATATCAGATTGGAGGGAGAGAGTATGGAGGAGGTGAATGTATTCAGATATTTGGGAGTGGACGTGTCAGCGGATGGGTCTATGAAAGATGAGGTGAATCATAGAATTGATGAGGGGAAAAGGGTGAGTGGTGCACTTAGGAGTCTGTCGAGACAAAGAACTTTGTCCTTGGAGGCAAAGAGGGGAATGTATGAGAGTATAGTTTTACCAACGCTCTTATATGGGTGTGAAGCATGGGTGATGAATGTTGCAGCGAGGAGAAGGCTGGAGGCAGTGGAGATGTCATGTCTGAGAGCAATGTGTGGTGTGAATATAATGCAGAGAATTCGTAGTTTGGAAGTTAGGAGGAGGTGCGGGATTACCAAAACTGTTGTCCAGAGGGCTGAGGAAGGGTTGTTGAGGTGGTTCGGACATGTGGAGAGAATGGAGCGAAACAGAATAACTTCAAGAGTGTATCAGTCTGTAGTGGAAGGACGGCGGGGTAGGGGTCGGCCTAGGAAAGGTTGGAGGGAGGGGGTAAAGGAGGTTTTGTGTGCGAGGGGCTTGGACTTCCAGCAGGCATGCGTGAGCGTGTTTGATAGGAGTGAATGGAGACAAATGGTTTTTAATACTTGACGTGCTGTTGGAGTGTGAGCAAAGTAACATTTATGAAGAGGTTCAGGGAAACCGGCAGGCCGGACTTGAGTCCTGGAGATGGGAAGTACAGTGCCTGCACTCTGAGGAGGGTGTTAATGTTGCAGTTTAAAAACTGTAGTGTAAAGCACCCTTCTGGCAAGACAGTGATGGAGTGAATGATGGTGAAAGTTTTTCTTTTTTGGGCCACCCTGCCTTGGTGGGAATCGGCCAGTTTTTTTTTTATTATCACACTGGCCGATTCCCACCAAGGCAGGGTGGCCCGAAAAAGAAAAACTTTCACCATCATTCACTCCATCACTGTCTTGCCAGAAAGGTGCTTTACACTACAGTTTTTAAACTGCAACATTAGCACCCCTCCTTCAGAGTGCAGGCACTGTACTTCCCATCTCCAGGACTCAAGTCCGGCCTGCCGGTTTCCCTGAATCCCTTCATAAATGTTACTTTGCTCACACTCCAACAGCACGTCAAGTATTAAAAACCATTTGTCTCCATTCACTCCTATCAAACACGCTCACGCATGCCTGCTGGAAGTCCAAGCCCCTCGCACACAAAACCTCCTTTACCCCCTCCCTCCAACCCTTCCTAGGCCGACCCCTACCCCGCCTTCCTTCCACTACAGACTGATACACTCTTGAAGTCATTCTGTTTCGCTCCATTCTCTCTACATGTCCGAACCACCT